TGAGAATATCTCCTAGATAAACGGCATGGATGAATAACTGATCGAAGAAAGTGTGATCAAACGACAGGCAGATTTGAAGATGTGAATGCATACACACAGTTCATGCTTGAAGTTTATCATAGTATAGCACGTAACGCAATGCAAAGCAATACAGTGCTGCGCGCAATACAAAATTCTAATTCTTAATGTAACCATGCTTTTGAGAAAACAAATTCATTTTCTAAGGGAAACAAAACGAAACGAATCAAATTTGCAACTCAAATGAAAAAATAATAACGAAATAGATAACATTAGTTTATTGCTACTACTGCCCAATCTTCAGTAAGTGAAATAAGAAATGTCGATCAAAATTGTCAAATCAATAATCGAAATTAGAACTGTACAAAAACGAAGGATTCCCTCCGTCAAAACTTGTTTTCGCACAGAAAGAAGAGCATCAAGGAAGCAATAATATGATACTTGCGACAATAAAGCGGCATAAACTCGTAATGAGTTATTGTAACTACTGAATGAATAAATAAACGATCAGTGATGACAATAATAATGATTAGATCAAATTCAAATTGGAGTCTGCTCATTCAAATTTTCGTTCTGAACAAGACGATTAATTCAAACAATTTTCTGCTCAAAAGTTGAACACTGCCACGTCTATTAATTGTTTCAGAAAGAGAAAATGATAGCAATACTGGTAGCAAAGAGACAATGATAGCAAAGAGATAATGATAGCAAATTTCAGACTGATTCAAAAATACTGCAAAAATTGAACTTTTTTTGCACTAACTTTCGTTTTCATACGAAAACATACTAAAAAAATCGTGAACTAATCGTTCTACCAGCCACGTTTACACTGCTCTATGTTAACCGTTTTCCTCTACAGCTATAGAGTTAGGCTGCACAAAATCTTATGAAGACGGAGTTTGATTTTTTAATAATTAAAAAGATAAAAAATAATCGAGACATCATTTTGGTCGACAATCACCCCTTCCTATACGACAAAACTTAAACATTTCTGAATCACGTTACATTGCAAAACTGCATTGAAATGCGGCAGTGTGCGCATTCTTGCAATAATCGCTCATTTCAAAAGGTGCGTTCGTTCAAGTGCGCACAGATGATGTAAACTGATTGTTCGCACAGCGATTATCGTGTTGAGAGATATCTTCTTTGAATAATCCAAATCAAAGCACAGTGGTGCATTTCACTTGGGTCAAGTCTCATATTGGGCTGAGGTGTACATTACACAAACCGTCGGTTCTATTACATCACTGCAAGGTCTTTATTAGGACTTGGGCCTAAGCTTATGCTACAGCGACTAGCGACTATTCCAAGAATCGCATTGCAATTTTAAAAAGCAGAGATCAGTTTGCTTCGACATTTCGCTGTACAATTCGTATGAACCTTTACTTTCGCCTCTCAATTTGATACGACCTGGAATACAAACTGATTCGGTTCGAATGCAAACCTAAGCCTAAGCTTGGAATTAACCCCGAGTCTAAGCCTAAGTTTCGACTCCTGCCAGTCCAATGTTTTCAGTTGTCTCAGAAGTTTTCCACTATTGCCATACTATGTTCGAAACGATGCGCAAATTGCATGTGACCCGAAGATATTCACAGATGAATGAATAAACCATTCAAAAAATGAATATACACATCGTAGAAAAATCAGAATAAATGAATATGCGACGAAATTTATCTTTTTGTTGATTCTGCAGGTAGTAACATCACAAACAAATGCTCCACGTAATAAAATGTTCATTCGCATTCGACCACAAATATACGGACGAATAAAACGAAACAATGGAAGAGAAGAAATCGAATACAAATCGATGAAGAGGATATAAAAATGAATATATTATGAATAAATAAACAATCAACTGAATGATGCTGTTGCCGTTGTCACTGCGTCGTTTTATTCGATAAAAAGTCCACAAAAAAAGGAAATTCAAAATGAATTTCAAGAAAATATGAACAAAAGAAGAAATGGCCCATTCAAAATCCATTCATTATCTTTCATCCACCCGAACGCTTCACTTCAAAATTCTCGCAGCTATTCTCAAATCAGTTTTTTTTTGACTGAACAACTATTCGATTTTGCCTTTCAGACCCTTCCTTGTTTCCCAAAAAATGTTCTGCTTAAATAAACACGCAACCAATAGAAATAGGACAAATGAAAATTCATGAAAAAAAAAACCCCAAATAAATAGAAAAAACGAGTGAATTCTAGACTTTGCACGCAAACACACATGCAAATGAGTACCGCAACGAAACAACCCAAGAATTTGGCCCCGTTCATGAAAGCAGTGGCGTTGTCAGCACTTTTTCCAGAGATGGGAGGAAGGAGACTCAAAATAGTGTTTCGAAAAACAGCTGAATTTTGAGGAAGATTTGTGTATGTTGAAAGGGACCCATCTTGTCTATTCCACTGCATGAAAGCTTGATTTATAACAATAACACCACCGACAGCTATAAGGACAGATGTTTAAAACAATTATATGTATGTGCCACAGTATCGTATTACAATGCATTTATAGACGGATAAATTGATAAACAACTGAAATGAATTAAATCAAATTAATTTGAATTTAACTGAATCACATTTCATTACTTTCATTAAGATAAGATTTAAGTGAATAAAATAAAATCAATTCAACTCAAATAAACGATTGGCAAAGATTCATTATACAACTGACAGTGATAACAATCATACTGATAGTCATAATAATAAAAGCAATAATAATAACAACAATGTTAATAATAATAACATTGTTATTATCAATAAATTTCAACCAAAAATACAATAAAATCACAGAATATGCTGGTGGTGTTGTTGTCGTGTCATCTTTCACTTTCAACAAACCGTGGTCGATCGTGTTTCATCCATCACTTTCAACAGAACAATATAAAGAAGCAACACTTATGCCGACAGAAACAGAAATTATTACAAAACAGAACGAAAAATAAAATAACTCGCTACATCCCCTAAATTAAGGCATCACTTCTTCACTTCATTATGTCCCAAACACAAATACGAACGAACGAAAATAGAACGAGAAACAGGAACAGAGAATTTTCTACGAAAAAGTTTTTTCTATTTTCTGAACATGACCACTCAACGTGTTCCTTTTCTTTGCTCCATTCCCGTTCCTTTTCACTATTTCCAAAATTTACTCATCATCATCATACTTATCGCTATCATTAACAACGTTATTATTCACTCCAAAATGATATTACAGAATAATAACGATTATCATAATAATATAGTAAAGGATTCATTTAAACAAACATTATTAATAACAGCAATAATAAATAGGAACAGAGAAATTCACCTCCCGGCCAATTAAAAAAAAACAAAAACGAAGTATGAACTAATTCAAACCCAAAAAACGATAAAATGTCCCACCATTTCACTTTCTCCCTGTAATACTCAATTCGTGACCTTATATTGCAGTACATATTGCATAATATAATTCTTATATGTGATTATTATTGTTATTATTATCAGTAGTAATGATAATAAGATAAGATTCATTATAATTATGATAAAAAAATCTTGATAATAATCAAGATGGGAATAATAACAACAACACAAATTATCACTGTAATCATCGCAGCTCCTCGATTCCGAAAACGGAAGTTGTAATGGACAAAAGAATATAATAATAACAATAATAATAATAACCGTCATCATTCACTATTATTATTATTACTATTACTCTGATCACATAATAATAATACCAAATAACAAAAGACTTCAACTAAGAATAGCTCTGATCTCGCGATGAATATTACACAAATAATCGACGTACGAATACGTCGTTGATGTTCGATCCTCCACCAAAAAGCGTTTCATCCATGCCTCAAGCGCATCTTGCTGTCTGATTATGAACAGTTTCATACATCTTGCCTTATTCTCATTAATACGATCCAACACACGACGAACCGCACGCGAATGCGCATTATCCCGTTCTGGTATCGTATGCTGAAGTGACAAATGATATCAACTACGCCCACAACAACAACGCAAAACTAAGTTACATTTTCAGTGTTGACATGCGTAACCGCATTCGCGTCGAACACATCCTGAACCCACTGCTGCCGTACACCGAGTCCGATCCAGATGAACATCATCAAGCCATTGTAAATCAAGTATGCCTTCTCTGCGTTCAAGTTATCGTACGTTGCACGCACACTCGCTGGCAGCACTACCTACAACACAACAACGTCATCAAAAACCACAACCACTAACTAAAGATCACCTCATCTGTCGACTTTTCAAGCACCAAATCCGAAATTGGCACCACATTCGGATACAACATCAACATCGCATCATCGGCACGCAACGACCCTACCAATTGCATCATCCATGCGCGATCGTCCACCGTTATATCACTACCTGAAGTTTACTTACTTCATTCTTATTATTACCATCTAAAATATACACACTATTTAATTTCATACGTGATATTAAACCCACCAAGTAATAAAAATTGTTCGTGGGTGGTCCATAAGTCAAGCGTTAGTCCATTGAAAAAGTGAATTATCCAATTACAAAAAAAAAAAGAAAAAAGAAAGAAACAACGTAACCAACGAAAACGACTACAATTCTGACCGCAACAGCAAAGTACATTTGACAATTTCTGTTAAATGTTGAAAAGAAAGAGTATTTTTTGGAGGAATTTAGCCTTTAACTATCACAAACAAAAATCGTCGTGCGCCTTACGAATGAGCGCTCGATCGCTGCACTCAAATGTTACCGAATAGTTTCAAATCAAATCATTAAAAAATGATAAATAACGAACCTCCACTGATTGCGTCATTTCGTACAATACAACACCCGTAAAGCGGCAATAATTTCAGGCATTCTGGTAGAATCAATTGTCCTAACGGTGCCTGTTCACTGCATTTCTCACGATAAGTGGCCAATATTTGTGCACATCGTGCCGTAACAGCCTCTCGTACATCTTTTGGCGTTTTTTCATGAACCATTGATTCTGCTGCAAACAACAACAAACATCCAATTTGAGCACAAACAATTTGAAATAAAAATAAAGATAAAAGATGACCTTGTTTGAAGAGAAACGAAACGAGAGCATGTGAATCGGCAACACGATACAACTGATTGAAATCACTCGATACCGGAAGTGCCATGTTATGAATTCGCAAACGACGCTGACCACTACACGACGTGAACAGTGTTGCAGATTGAATAAAAGCGTTCGAATCGGGTAGACGATCATCGTGACGAATCTCAATATGAACTGCCTGCAATACAACTACAATAAATACCCATTTCTGCCACAAAAATAATCATCACCTTATCTGAGTCAATCACACCAAACTCCATATCCGTACTGTTATCCATAAAAAAGTTGCCCATGAAACCCGTCGGTCGTAAACCTGAAATAGACACACATCCCATCACAAAATTTCAGTCGCATCTAGATCACAACTCAAAAAACCAACGTACCTGTTGAGGTTCGAACCCTCATCATCACATCAAATACAATTTCACGACTAATATCGTGCGCTAAATCCGCCAAGAAACGTTTTCCGTCTTTGTGCTCCTTAATCAAATCTTATCAATCAACCAATCAAATAATGAAACAACAGCAGTAATAATAATAATAATAATAATAATAATAATAATAAATACAACAAATATAACAATAATGAAAAATACCTCAAAATAATGATATTTGTAAAGAGAACCACCCGTAATCGAGCAAACTGGTGCCAGAGAAGCGACATCAACGAATGAATTCGGGAACAGGAACAGATCAACAGCACAACCCGCCTTCACACACTCCTCACCTAATTTGCCGTAATAGTCAATTGCAGGTTGTAATACTGTCTGCAATTAATCACACACAATTATATTACTACTACTACTACGATAACGACGTACCTTCTCCTTATCAGAGCCCAACAATTTTCGATCATCACGATTCTTCAACTTTCCGGGTGCATCCATGATTGGCAAATTCGTATGGAAGATGAACAGCTTTCCTGCGCAGTCTGCTGCCTACAAAGAATTCTTTGATACTAATGTCAGTACTATTGCAATGAATGTCAGTACTACTGCAATGAAATCAATACCTTTAAAGCATCTAAACCAGCCTCGATAACAGGTCCCAGCATTGTTTCAGTTGTTCTCGTTCCGGCAAACAGATCTTCTATATCTTCTAACAAACTGAAACAATATTATTCAACAGACCAGTTACAACTACAATAACAACAACAACTGCAAATGGAATGTTTCTGTAAGCTTAAGACTAAATGAATAAAACGCAGTCAACGATTATACTATGTACTCAAAATAAATGTGACAATAAAAATAGCACGCGAAATCATAAATCAACAACAATAAAACTTACGTCTCAATAAGTGAATCGGCCTCGTCCATTCTCACCAAAAAGCCATCAATGAACGGCACGAACACATCATTTATATCGCTAACTACTAACATCTGCGGTTGCCCCAAAGCCGTCTTCAAATTATAAAAATGTATCGTCTGATCATAAGTCGCAAAGCCGACACGAATTGACGACCTTTGCTCACCAATATCCCTTAACATTATAACAATGTAGAACAACAGTGATAATTTTGACAATAATAATAATAATAATAATAATAATAAAACCTCGGCAACTTCTGCAGCAAATCACGAACGTGCTTGCAAAACACCGAAACGAGACCGCAATGAACGGCAGTATACGAAACGTCCAACATGAATATGAAAGCTGGCGGTTTTGGCTTTACACCATTCTAAAATAGTTCTCGATTCGTAATCATGACAATAATAGCAATAATAGATGAATGGCTAAACCTTGCAATACTGCTTTGTCGCCACGAATTCATATGAGCCGTAGCATTGCTCGAGTCTTTGATGAATGTCCGTTCGACGACCAGTATGATCCAAGTGTGCAAAATATTGCTCTTCAACTGCAATCTCAAACTATCTACACCAAAAATAAACATAGACGTGCGCGATTTAATGATTCTTCCTTTTCAATTGAGTAAATAAACCACTCCTTCAGCAAAGCATTTCCCAACGAGCAGTACTCAATCCCGTCAAATACCAATTTCCTGTTCGGCATCCTAACCGCTAACAACTATCGTTAACTCTGAACCAACCGCAAACTACTCATCAACAGCCAAAGTACAAACCTGCAGTTGAAGCCAAACAAAACGGACACTTAAAACGTCTACCACCATCTTGAAACTCCATAAATGGACACATATAAGCCTTGCAACGATGGCAACGTACTGGACCCATATCGAACAGATCTATTATCGGTGGACGCATCTGTAAGTTACTCATTTCATAAATTGAAATGTTGAAACTAAAATCAAAAAATTTAAAGAAAAGAAACGATGAAATGCTTTAAACAAGCAGAAATACGTCACTGACCTCATTTGGATGAAGCGAAGCAAAAGGCGTAATGGTTACAGCGAATGGAAGTTGCGAACTCTTCAGAATATCAGACGAACCGGGTGCTACGTATAGTGTTGAGCGCATATATTTTGGATTGCAGTTACCTGATGAGGGAAATCAAATTGATTGATGGGTGAATCGATGCATGTGAAGATGAAGAGAATGCAATTCACATGATCAATCTCATTCAAAAATGAACTGCACCATCATCAAATGATAACAACAGAACACAATAATGAAATCATATCAACTCAAAGAGATAACGTACCTTGATCTTGAGCAATGAATTCGGTGGTTGTTAAAGGTGGGATCTCGGCCGTTGGATAACCAGTAGGGAAGGGACCACTACGTGTCGAGCGATCCTCATCGATTACTTGTACCTGTGAATCAGATAGTAATGTGCATTGATACTGGATTGCTTTCACTGATGACATCTTAAATCAGTCAAACTTACTGCACTCGGCATCAAATTCGGATCGAGTCGAGACTTTTGCTGCTGTTGCATCGCTGCTCCACCCGTACCCATCATCTGTGGCGGCCCACCCATCTGTGTTTGGTGTCCACCCATTTGCAAAGGTCCTCCCATCAACGGCGGTCCACCCATCTGTGGTATCCCTCCCATCTGAGGCGGCATCCCTCCCATTTGCGGAGGTGCACCCATTTGAGGTGGCGCACCTCCAAATTGTGGAGGTCCACCCATTTGAGGTGGCGCATTTCCCATTTGCGCAATTCCTCCCCCCGGTGCACCCATTCTGGGTGGCATACCACCAGGCATCTGTGGTGGTCCCATCGCACCCATTGGAGCAGCGTTAGCGCCCGGCATTGATGGCCGTTGAAGAGGATACGTGGGACGTGCACTTATACCTGCTGACATCATCACTGTAGATGGTACCGTGCCCGAACTTGCACCTCGCCCCATATCACCACCAAATGGCATTTGATTGACTGCTTGATTACTCATTGAAATCGATTGTGGTTGTTCATATTGTTGCTGTGCATAGGGTTGTGCGCCTGCGGCTGAACAAACTGGTGGCATGCCAGTTGGATGAGGCATCATTGATGTAGCTGAAGTTGGAGGTGCTGCTAAAGGAGCTGGTTGACTTGTAATTGGGGCTGAAGTGGCGGTTGTAGTTGGAGCTGTTGGCAAAGGAGCACCACCATAAGGTGGCTGCATACTCGCTGAGCCACCCATGGTGGCTGTGGCCGTGTTTGCAAAGGGAGGAAGCGGTCCTTGGGAGATACTCGAAGAGCTGATTGATGATGGAACAGGGGCAAAAGAGGCTGGAGAGGGAGGAGATGGAGCAGCAAAACTACTGCTACTACTACTAGCCACAGCAGTAGGAGTCGGTCCTGTGCTCGGTGGCGCTGAAAGCTCAATCGAAGATAAATTATTGGTGTTTTTGCAGTAGAATGACATCAATACCAAAACAAAAAGCCAACCTGGAAACGCGTTTGATGTCGGTATTGAAGGCACCATTTGATTTTGCTGAGGAGGTGCGCCCGGCGTCGGTATGAAACCGTTTTGTTGTTGAGGTTGCTGCTGAACCATATATTGTACTGCTGAAGCAGTTAAGTTTCACCGTTGCACACGAAAATTATTCATTCAGTCATACAAAAACACAAAAAGTTTTCACCGAAACGAAAAAAAGAAGTGGGAAAAGAATAATTCATCAGTTTTCAAACGACTTAATGGTGAAATGGTGAAACAAAGAGTCGATAATGATCAAAGTGATCCGATTGCAATTTAGAGATCTCACTTACTGTGGGTACACACATTCAATGTGTGGCTTATCCGGTGGCTGAACTAACGTAATTTTTACGCTGGAGTTTACACCGAAGTCATAGCCACACAAGTCAATTCCGTTAAAATTATATCTAAACCAAAAAAGAGGTATTTCTTACCCGAACTATTCGGTATTTTTGGCATTTGTGATTGGGCGCTTGATGGTAATTGAGACTGTTGAGCATATCCAGTCATACTATTACTATAACTATTTGTATTGTTCTGGTGATTAGCTATATCATCAACCTAAAATCAAAATACGAGTTTGACAAGAACACAACACTGGCAATTTTATAGTGAAAACCATAAGATCAGTGTAATATCAACACAAATATTAACAGCATCTTGTGATTTTTACATCACAGTTCCGAAATGGTGTCTCAATTAAAGCCTTTTTCCATCTAAATCTAAATCACTGCAAATCTTGTGATAATACGATGAAATCAACAAAATGATGTGATAATTGATCATAACCATAGCAATAACACTATTAACTGTAATGACAGTCAAGTTAGGTTTAGTTAGTACCTGACGTGGATGTCCATTCGGCATTTGACTGATAGGAGCTACGCCGCTCATTTGTGACGGTATTGGCATAAATTGCTTCGATGGTTCAACTAGAAATTTCAAAAACATTCTCGAAATAGCGATGGACAATAACACTAACAACATTAGTAGTAACGAGAAGAATAATGATAACTGCAATGATACAACAATAATGTTTATTTATATCTAATGAAAGTCATTACCAGGGAACTGTTGCTGTTGAAATGGTGGTTGCCCGTTTGGTGGTTGAAGCATCACGCCCGGATTGCCACCATAATTTACATTTGCCGATTGTTGTTCCTGTTGCTGACCAGCACCAACGAACGAGCCAGAAACCGGTGGCATAGGCGGTAACATAGTCGAAACACTGAATGCATTCAATATTATTCTTACGAACACACTTAACCTTTTCAGGTTTCTTTTGAACAACTATTTATTCATTCACCGATCAACACTACAACAGCGCTTATTGCAAAAGCATCCAACACGACTCAAACAATCAGAATCGAGCACGAATACTCGAACCCATGGTATAGCAAAAGTTTCAACAAACAATTTATGAGTAATTATGCTGTTCAAGCTTAAAATTTCTTAATCTCATTCGGTGATCAAAATTCCAGCAATCTTAACGACACAATTACCAGAAACAAATAACATTTTTTATTGTTGATGAACACCAAGATTGCACGGATATAAAGAATATTCACTGAGTAGGAATTATTTGATTTTACAAAAAATATTAGAAAAAACTGATAAAAATTCATGCTCCTAAGATATAGTCACAAGATGCGAGCCAAAAAGATGCTCGATTACGACCGAAACGAAAGCGACCATTGGGGGATATCTAAATCCTTTAGCTTAGAGAAAACAACAGTCAAACCTATCGTTACAAACTTCGAATTGATCATGAAAACGTCAACAATATCGACAAGAATTGACCAGTGGAGCATAACTTACCAACGTGTCAAAAAGGTAGCAGGCAGTATCAAGACTATTACACGAATTTTCCACAAATAACAAAAATAATACAAAACCTGATTAAAATAAAAACAGTGAGTACACCCACCAATAAATTACGACAAATGATAAAAATGAACAGCACAAAACCAAAATGAACAACCAATTAATTGATACTGTATGAATAACAGTGAAAATTTACAATTATTTATTAGGTTCTTTTTTTCATCCGTCCAAATTTATGCATTTCGTTTGGCCACGTTATCAAAATGCCAGTTTTGTGTCACACAGTAAAATTCGTCAGCCACATCCGCTTAGAATGCACCTAATACCTGACCATTCTAGACTTAGTTGTGACGTCGTGTCTAAGCTCAAGCCCTTACTCTGAGTGCAGTATGGCGAAAGCAGAGATTCAGTTGCAGTCTACTTTAAAAGGCTTACGTTGAAGCTTGGATGGGTGCAACGAATGCTCCAGGTGCACTTTGCAGATTGGAAGTGATACGGTGTAAAAGGCGAATTGGCAACTCACCAGAGATACGGTGTTGCTCAGTTGTCTATCAGTTTCGTCACTTCAAGACGCTGAATTCGTTCTCAACTAAAACTTAAGATCGCTCTCCCGCATCCGTCATACAGTTCAATCCTTTTGATACCCATCGTGAAATCATTCGATTTTACAGGGCCGAAGTACTTCTACTACTTGATGTTTCGAGTCGCGAAATTAGCACACTTCATAAAAACATTTCCCCGAAAAGCGGACAAGTCAAGCAAAAATATGAAGCATAAAAGCATATGTTCTGGAGAAACATAAGTGAATAAAATTTTACAAAAATTTAATCCATTAAAGATTTGTTTACTAGACGTGCAAAGCACACGCGAAAGATATCTCATTCAAGTCAACCTAAAGACTTCTTCATGAAACATTCATTCGTCAGCCTATTGTTATTATAACCATTTTATTAAAATTTCAACATTTCACGTGTGCAGGCAATCAACTGCTGACACTTCTCAATATACGCACACACAAATATGTTGAAATGAGTAAAAAGTATCGGACATGAGTAAAAAGTTATCGGACATAAAATGAAGCTGAAATTCAAGGTGCTCAAAATGCAAAAAAATGACAAATGCTGTTCACAAATGATGTATTTCGCATGATTTCTGCTTCAATTTAACGGATAATCGATGCTCTCTTATGAAATCATTTATTTAATTCCCTTCACGCACTCTCTTCATTATTACAATTATTACCTCATTATTAACATTTTATGACTGAATCTTCATTCTAAACCACCAACATTATTACCCCCACTAACCATTTAGATGTCCATCAACATACCTCTCACCCAAACTGCTTTCGATAAGTTTGCCGAAAAAATTTCCTTGATAACAGCTAAATTCATCTAAATTTTGTTTTTTTTACCATTGACTGAACACTCGATCAAGATTTGAATATGACAGAAACAAGGGACAGTTTGACGCGAAGCATTAACACTTTTGCAGTCGACCTTCGTTATCGTCAAAACATATATTTTTCGAAATCATCTCGCATGAATCAGCGATAAAAACTCAAAAATTCGCTCACTAAAAATTTGAACCATAGGAAAAAGAAGCGAGACAAATGTACTGAAATAAAACCGGCGAAAAATGGTCACTGCTGACAATAACAATAATAATAGCAATAATAGTAATAATAATGAACAATCATTTGTATCACTCTATGAACATAAACTTGAAAAATTCAACTCATCATTCCGCTCGAAATTCCAATTACCAGCTGACGAACATTTCCAAGAAATGCTTTGAAATATGATATATTGATAATAGTAATACTAACAAAGATTTAAAAAAAGACAAAATCAATTCAAAATTATAAAAGACTGACATCGAACAAAAACAATTCACGTCCGAAAACTAGAAAAATTTTCACACAAATACAAAAATGCGTCCATTAAACGATTTGAAGCGAACGCAAATTATCATTGATGACGATGAAAACAGAAAAAAGAGAGAATTGTAATTTGCAATTGTCATCTTCAAAATTATCAGTAATATTTCGTGAAATGATAATCATTCCACTGAGAAAAAAATTGAGAAAACGCGACGTTTAATTATATTAGCAACTGATTGACTGATTAGATAAATCAATGAATGAATGACTGATATTCTAATCGAAATTATTTTCATCCTCTCTGATCGATAGTCGAATTCAAAAAATAATTAAACAAAACACAGGATCAAACTTTGCAGTGTTTACACTAAAATTTCATCAAAAACTCAAAATTAATCAAATCAAACTGATCAAATTTATTCCACAAAAGTAAACGAAAAATTTTCGTCTTCTTCACCAACAAGCACAAAAAAGCAAAAATTCAACATGGCAAACTTTCTCTTAACTTTTTCTTCTCATTTTTCACAGAAGAACACCTATTCCTTTCTGCTGCGATGCCACACCACTTTGGTGGTCAGTTTCGACAAGTAATCGAAACAATTATTAAAACAGTTTCAATATGATAGTAACAATAATGATGAATATAATATGAACACATATAATAACAATCGTAATCAAAATCAATCAATCAATCAGACTAATTAATCACAATCACATCGCGAATTTCTGCGTCCATTCACGCGCCAATTGATTGTAACGCTCACGATCCGTCTTGTAGATACGCGCTATTTCTGGTACTAAAGGATCATCCGGATTCGGGTCACACAGCAGTGAGCAAATCGACAGCAGCACTGTAAATTACATCTTTTTCATTTCAATCATCATTTTACCAACAATAATATAATAATAATTAATACTAATAACATCAGTAGCAATAACAATATGAACGATGAAATGCCAAAGCCAACCCAACCTCGAACCCACTCAAAGCATTAACACTAAATGATAAATATGATACGACCATAAAGATGAATAACCTTTTGATATGGTGAGTGCAGGTGACCACTGCGAACGTAGAATGTCCAAACATATACTCCCATTGCTGTTGATATTCGGATGGTAAATCCGTGTTGTGAATGCTACCTAAACGGCAATTTATTTGTTGCGATTCAATCCGGTGTGGACAGTTCAATTTTGAATAGAAATTTCTATGGATATTCGAGAAAGAAACACGAAACGAGAACTTATAAAAGAGTTACAAACATGAACCTTTGGTGGCTTGAACGGGTAATCTGTGGGAAAATGTATGGTGAGAAAGAAAACGCCCCCTTGGTAGGGCGATTCTGGTGGACCCATTATAGTAGCTTGCCAATGAAACAGATCATCACCCACTGGTCCAGCGCTACACTGTGCTGGTGGATCACGTCCCAGATCTTGTAATTCCTAAATATTTCTTATTACTTTCGCAAAAAAACTGCAACCTTTCTGTATTCCTCCGATATTTCCGAACTGACATAGCTGATGAAAATTCTCGTTTTTTTTACATCAAAGGTGAGCCCAAACGATATTGTTCTTAAAACAAAAACCCAAAATTGCGATACGTTCATGTGAGTGAACCTCAAAAAATGTGATATTGAACAAATAGCAAAAAATACCTTTTGGATGCGTTTAAGAGCCATTATTCGTGTTCTGCGCAAAAAATGGAATAGATTTGTCGGAATATATGGCAGCAGCAATAACAATAACAATAAAAATAATCAAAACAAGTGAATGTTGTGAACTTTGTACGGACCAGTGACTATTATGTTAC